AAGAAGGGACCAGTTGGCCTATACCAGACCGTCGTCCAAGCATTCGCCTCCTTCGTAAGCTTTCCCACGTGGGGCTTCAACTCAGCCCGCAAAAACATGTGGTGTGTGACGTCTGCCATTTCAACCACGTAGCTAAGTGGTGCCTAAACTGACACCACCTTAGCCGGACCACCTCAGCATGTAGACAGATCATGGGACTTGCCACGTAAACTACACCAAACCTGAGCGCCCACCGGCAGCAATGGTACATCTTCGCACCTGATCTTGGCGCGACTCTGCTGATCGAGCTGAGCCCGCCGATCACGAACAGCCGCCAGAGCGTCACGAACCATAGCCTCCGTGCCCTTCTCAGATTCCAGCAGTGACAGTGCCCTGTCCTGCAGCTCCAACCGCTTCTGCCCGTTGAAGTCCTTGCCAGTCATATGAAAATACGGCGAGAACCCCGTGACCGAATTGCGCGTAACATTGTAGATACACACCATTTCATACACCAAGTGTAGCCACACATGCGGCGAACCATCCGCTGCTTAATCTCCCTGCGCAGTCAGTCCTTCATCGTCCTGATGAGTGTCTCTGGCCGCCCATTACTCGGATGGCGGTTCACCGTGATCCAGTGCGGCTCGATTTAACGGCGTTCACAGAATGTCGTCACGTCTCCATTCTGGAACTTTTTGTCCACATGCATCACTAAGCGAGCGGGAGAGCCCCAAGCCAATACCTGTTCCTCCATAAAGCGTACCACAAACACTCCATCCGCGTTCGGGCTGAAGACTCTTGCAAACATCATACGAGTCTGTGTGTCCGCCGCTAACAACATCTTGGCTGACCGTTCACTAAGTCAAAGTCCATGAAGTACATGCCTATCTCCCTCATGGGTTCCTCAGGACGTCTCGGTTGTTGGAGGAGGTCCTTCTCCTTCCCCAAGTCGTCTGAGATCGCTTGACAAGCATCCCAACTCTGACGCACGTGAATGCACATTTCCATCATGCCGCTCCAACCCCAGAACGTGTGTGCCAGCTGATCCGATCGCTTGGCACTCGGATTTACAAACAACTTATGGGTGTACCGTACAATCCTCTCAATGATGTACTCCCCACCTCGGCCCCAAAGACCGAGAGCTTATTGACTGTAGGCGCTCTCGCTTCAAGTCTTCACTGGACTCGTCCACAGATTCCTCCTCCAACTTAGTGCGCTCTGCAGCACTAAGCGGCACCTTGGCCTCTGGTTCATCCAGATCCATGTCGTCCTGAGCTTGCATCGTATCCACAATCTTAGCCCAAGTTCCTCTGCCGCCGATTTAGCTTCAAGGACTTCGCACTCTGACTGCGCGTGTACATCGCTCCTAACGACTCCCCACCTTTGGGCGTGCCAACTTCTTCCGGTTGGACTTCTGCCTTCCGCACAGACTGATCCAGTACCTTACTGGTATCCCAGCGTGATTGTGTGGAAAAATCACCTACCGCAGAGATAGGTGTGGTCTCTACCTTAGCTTCCTCTGCTGGGAGCCCACACCTAACCCTCTTGCCACTCGGATGAGTCATAGCACCTACTGTGTCCTCCTGCACCATGCAGGAAACAACTTCATTCTCACGTTTTACCGCCGCCGCAGCTAATTTCTCAAAGATGGGCCGCTTGGCTTCCAGCTTCTCCCAAAAGTCCCTACGCAACTTGCGCGGTCTATACGGACTCATGTGACAGACTAGCGTCACAAAATCGGGTACCGGTATAGACTCATGCCCATGCTTCAGGAAGACACCTTCTTTCAGATATATGACCAGCGGATCAGCCGAGAAACGCGGGACCATCTCCTTAAACCACCAAGCTTCAGGGGCATATAGGCACACCAACGTCGCGGTTGCCTTATCCCTCCTGATTCTTGCTACCACCCTGCCCAAATCTGACCACTTCGGATTGAAGTACCACCTGGTACCTATACAGATACGTAGGCTGGTAGAAGGGCTTCATCCGATAATTAGTCGGATGGGTAACCCCTTCCGTATCGAACGGACCAAAACTATCCCATACCTTGGTTAAACAACTCTTGGTCGAGGAATACGACTCTGTTTTAGGCTCCACCACCACTGGATCTCTGCAGTGAACCCGTTCCTCTACTAGCGCACCCCGCGCCTGTATAATTGGGTCAATGTGGTATTCTATGTGCGACTGCACATCAGCCACAGGATTCAGCTCACCCGGTATGTACTTATGTACTATATCGAAGTCTCTTAACACCTGTGCATACCGGGCTATCCTCCTACCTCTCACCGACGAGTCATAGGACAACGGATTCTTCGTCAGTATCGTATTCAGCGGCTCATGATCCATGAAGATCGTGAGCGGATGCTGCGATCTCTTGACAATGCGCCAGGACTTGTGCAAGCAATCCACAAAAGCCAAGGCCTCCTTGCCTGTGATTTAGTTGCTTATCTGGGCCGGGCTGAACTTCGAAGACTAAAACCCTACTGGGCACAACTTCTTGTCTCGTCGAGCAAGCAACCCCCCCCCCACTTCCACCGAGTCACACGCATCGCAGTACATTCCCAACTTATCCTCGAACCCAGGTTCGACCAGAAACCCACTCTTGGCCACCTCAGCGCAGATACGATCAAACGCCTCCTGCTGAACCGGTCTCCATTTAAAGGAAACGTTCATCCGAGATGGGTGCCATACCAATCGTGTGATACCAGGAAACTAACGTGGGGGCATGCGCAAGATAGCCTCCACCCTATCCTCACTGATAGCAGACCCTTCCTCATCCACCAACCTTCCCAAAGCGAGAACCGCCCGGTCGGAGAAACCAAAACAGCACTTCTTAAAGTTCAACTTGACGTTATGCTTCTTACACGCCGCAATCAATGCCTCTTGGCATCATTGTCACTAACACCCATATCGTCAATGAATGTCTTAAGTCCGTCAACGCTCTGAAAGGCATGTTCTATCCTCTGCTACATAACCCAAAGTAAGATTCGGTCTATCAAGGCGATATTAACACTTTAGAGTAATTAAACGCTTAGGTTAAGTCTAAGTATAATTAAATTCAATGTAAATAAACGAAATGAGTTTTTAGTAAAGTTAGGTATGCCTCGTGAAAGCAGCAATACTCTGAGGGATTGTGAGGCTGAGACATTGCCTATATATAATCCTCTCAGTACTGTTTACGCCGAAGGAATTTATTTAGTGTTTCGTTGTCACTCTAACAGAAACTATGGTATGTTTCGTTGGGGCGAATCCGAGGGACTCATAAAATCATATCTTTAGAAAGAAAAAAATACTCTTGATATCCATAGTTATTGCATTGACCAAAACTTGCCACTTAGCAAGAATTACCGACTTAGCCTTCATCAGACTGGCACATCTGGTTGACTGAACGGAGGACAAACTAAGCAACGCTAATAGTCCTTAGAAACCTATGTTCGGTTGAGCCATCTCGCTACCGAAGTATTCAGATATAAATAGATTTGGAAGGTTAATATAGTTATATTAATAAAACTAGACCAAATCTTATATTTGGTATTTTACTGGGGCCTTTTAATGGCCTTGTCCAAATATCTGATATGTACAATGGAAAGGTATTTAATCAATAAAAACCGTTAAAACCCATTTGAGAGTTTACGTACTTTTAAGAGTACGTTTACGTACTATTAAGAGTACGTTTATACTACAAGATTCTAATGTGGAGGCCCGGCTTTTACACAGCCCCCACCCTGTTTTGAGACCCAGGAGAAGCAAGTTGATCACTCAAGCTGATTATAGATCAAAAAAGCGAGAAAGGAAAACGGGTCGAAAACATTAAGTAGCATAACGTATAATTAATGTTTCTCAGGCGGAGAAGTTAAGCGTTCTCGGTTACCCTGTGAGTTTTGGGTTTAGGTCCAGTAGGTCCGTGGTAGTCGACTGGACGTTTCTTACGCTTCAGTGTCTTAAGCACATATGAAGGGTGAGCATTAAAACTCGGGATAAATGCTGTTGGCGGGTAAGTTTCAACTTCCGTGCTTTCAGACGATGGGAACATGCTACCTTTTTCAGCCTGTGACTTATGTAGGCGTTTACGCCATCTTCTGTTAAAAGCCTTTAATAGTCCTCATTGTCAAAAGCGTCTGAAGTTAACTCAGCGATTGTACCGTCTATAAAGCGTGTACGATAGTTTGTATATTCTCCTTTACCCGTTCTCCATATAATATCTTTGAATTCGGAACGGTCAAGAGGTGCAGTAGAATCATGTCTTCTTGCGAGAGTAATCTCAGTAGTCGGAATTAGAACCGTCGGGGTTATTAACCTCATAGGTTCCACTTTTAGTGTCGGCTACATAGATTATGTATGCCCTATCCATTTCGATGTTAGTACAGTAGCATCGGAATTACGTTGACGGATGTTAACTCTGTCTCCAACCTGATACTCTGCTATATTTTTGGTAGCATTCCAACTATTTTGCCTTTTTAATAAGGCCACATTACGTGTCTCTTGACATACAACGTTGTGTATGCGTTGTACCTTCTCTAACCATGGTAACTCATGGTGATCAGGTTCGTCCTTGTTAAAGGGTATTTGTAACTCACTATATCTGCTACGAAAATAGTGAGCGGGTGTTATTCCTGTAACCGGATCAGCACACTCGTTCATCTGTGTTTGTACCCACTTAAGGTGGTACGGCCAATCATCTGCATCATCCGTTAATGCAGTACGTAAGAAGAACTTAAATTAGCGCCTTGTGTTTGCGGTTTATATGGTACACCCCTTTTATGGCACATGCCTGATACGAGTACTAACGATTCAATTATGTCGTCGCAGAACTCGCTACCGTTATCAGTGCACATGATACCTGGCCGCCGGTGGTCAGCAAAGACTTGGCAGCATAATTCTGCCACGGCCTGCGTACTCTTGTCCTTTAACGGATAGAGCAAGTTATACCGTGACGCCACTTCAAAGAAGTGGCATACGTAACGGTCGCCTGTGTGCTCGGACGTAGGCAGGTCAACCAGATCAATGATGATCCTGCGCCATGGAGCATCTTCAGTCACACTTAAGCGGTGCGAACCCATAGCGCTTAATCTGGTTGAGATCACAGTCTGTACATGACTGATATACTCTGTCAACTAAAGTTGCCAGCTTAGGGCGCGCGATCCCATTTCGCTTAGCATCTTTAAGTGCGTCTACTACGTTCTGGTGCTTTAGCTTATAGTTCTGCGTCAGCCAAGTAAGAATGTTTTCATCATTCTGCTCCTCCAGAATAAAGGTAGGGTGTTGAGAATCCACTTGCATGGTCTCTAAGTCTGTAGTGTTTCCAGACTCCTGTCCTTCTTTCGCATAAGTGTCATAAGTCTCGTGTGCGTTTGATACACCTGACTTATTTAATAGTCGCATTATATGCGTATATACTTCGGGATTATCTTTCATTAATCCCTTTAAAAATAGGGTTTGAAAG